ACTCCGAGAAACATTTTTGCACCAGCTGATCAACTACTGAACCTCTATGTCATGTCCCTCCCAGCTGACTATCCTGACCATGTCGAGATGCCAATGTCCCCTCTTCCCCCATTTATCTATCCTGATTCATAATACTCGATATAACTGTTGCCAGTTCCCACACAATCTCCATTATATGATATAGACTGGTTAGTGTTCATCCATATTTCTCCGGATTGTCTCCTCCATCTGCAAATATCGCATTTTCCCCATTTTCCGCCTCCTGTGATGACTTGCACGTTTACCCATCTATTATTCATTTTACCCATTTTTCTTTTTCGTCCCTTGGCTGACGAGAGGGTAAACCCTCTACCGGCCCGCCGGTCTTCCCGGGATCGGAATGAAATAAAGCTTATGTTGTTGTTTGTTGTGTTTTTACTCACTAGTAAAATAAATCTTGAAAAATTAATGTTTTCTTCACCACAAGAGCTGAATAACGTGATATATTTTAGACATAAACACCAATATTTGCCTTAAAATAACTGAAAAATGAGATAATACGATACGGTTATTGATTTTGTAATGCTTTTTAATAGCTATATTTGTGAAACATTGTTGTTTTTAATTATTACTTATGTTTTTTTGTTATTCCAGTTTTTTAATATTAATCCTACTATCTCTACTTTTTGACTGTTATGCTTTATTTTACATTTTTTAAAAGTTTTCAAATTCAAATTAATTTTCTGATTAAGAAGAAAAATAAACATTTCTCAAATAAATAATGCAAACCATGCACAGCCTTTTCATGAGTGAACAAAAAAGGTGGTTAAAGTTTAATAAGGAACAAGAAATATTTTACAGTGTAAAAGAAAAACAGTAATTTTAAACTATTTAAATGCTTAAACCTGCTTGCTTTTTTATTTTATATGTAAACTTTTCACTTAATTCCTAAGTTGTTAACATAAATGTCTCTTAATCTAAAATACTGAACATTTTAAGAACTGTGAAGAAAAGTCAAACTTACAATAATGTAGTAATTATCATAGAATGACAACCACAACATTAGCAAAAATAGTAAACTCAATAAGAAAGAGGAACTGACATTTTTTTGTGCTTGTATGGAAAGAAAAAATAAGCAAGGTTGCAAAAGAAATGAAAGTTGTGACATACAGACGCATGCTATGATGATTTCTCGTTAGTTCACAGTATTAGCATGGTCCGTGACTTCTGGAATGATGAAATACTTTTTACTACATTGAACAAAACCTACAAATAGCAAATGTTTGCTTCTCATACCTTATACTCGGTTAATCTTTGCATTATGTTATACTAAGAAATGTGTTACTCTGTCATTTCCAATAAGTAATTGAGAACAAGAAGAACAGGCTTAAATGGCAAAAAAATAAAAATCTGATACACATTTTAAGAAAACTAAATAGAAATCAAAATTGGATAAGGTGGTAGCAATACCTTAGAAATATGAATTGGTTAGACAAATTTTAAACAAACAGCACATATTAATTTAAATATTTTACTAACTAAACAGACAAATTAGTTTGCATTGTGTTTTTCTTTCTACAAATCACCAATTCTAAATATGACAGTTTTTGCATGATCAGTTCTAGCAAAATATCTCAATCTTCTGAACTAAAAAATGTCATGAAAGAATAATTTGTAGGACTAGAATAAATATAAATAATTATCTTAATTGCTACTCATCTTTTGAGACAAACAAAATGGAATAAATAACTCTGCTGCTCAACTTACAAGTGAGAAACATAATAAAACCCTCTTAAATTATAGAGAAGAATAGTGTTACCTATTGACTTTTTGAAAATATAAACTGATCTGGTTAACTTTTCAACAAGCCTCTAAAATCACAGGTTTCTCTGAGAAGCCGAAAAATGAAAGAGCATTGATGATAGCAAGAATTTGTTAGGAATCAGGTAACGTTACTTATGTATACAAGAAGGACTATCTGAGATTCAACTTGTTAGGAATCAGGTAACATTAAATATGTATATACAAGAAGGACTATCTGAGATTCAACTTGTTAGAAATCAGGTAACGTTACAAATGTATACAAGAAGAACTATCTGAGATTCAACTTGTTAGAAATCAGATAACGTTACATATGTATATACAAGAAGGACTATCTGAGATTCAACTTGTTAGAAATCAGGTAACATTACATATGTATATACAAGAAGGACTATCTGAGATTCAACTTGTTAGAAATCAGGTAACGTTACAAATGTATACAAGAAGGACTATCTGAGATTCAACTTGTTAGAAATCGGGTAACATTACATATGTATATACAAGAAGGACTATCTGAGATTCAACTTGTTAGAAATCAAGTAACATTACATATGTATACAAGAAGGACTATCTGAGGTTCAACTTGTTAGAAATCAAGTAACATTACATATGTATATACAAGAAGGACTATCTGAGATTCAACTTCTTAGAAATCAGATAACGTTACAAATGTATACAAGAAGGACTATCTGAGATTCAACTTGTTAGAAATCAGGTAACATTACATATGTATATACAAGAAGGACTATCTGAGATTCAACTTGTTAGAAATCAGGTAAC